CTTTATAAAAATCAAGAAAAAGCAGAAAACTGTCATCCAGGATCAAATCCGAGTAATCTAAAATATCAAGAACAAGTCTAATATTATTTGAAATAAGTCTGTCTGTCATAAAGCCCGACTGACATTAATCTATTATATCATCTAGGACACATTTAATCTTTTTAGCAAAAATCATGGCTAATATTTTGTAGTCATTATTCAGGAGACTTATAGGTCGCCAGTTTTCCAACTGAGAGTGGTCTTTTTGAGGTTTAGGGATCAAATTTATAACACCCTGAGTCATAGAGGGTGGGAGAACACCCTTTTTAAGGCTTTCTAAATAAACATTGAAGAGAAACGGTGAAAGATAATTTGAACATTTCTTATAAAACTCTGCGGTCAACTTATCAATGGCCTCAAAAATATCTTGAATTTGAATTGGAGCGTCACATAAATTCTTTCCAATATCATTAATTTTAGGAATAAGGTCCGTATCAAGGGAGTTAAAGAATAAGTCCAAATTCTGTTGAGAGTATTTGGAACGATAAAGGTCTTTATAAAACTCTTCACAATAATTAGAAATTTCTTTATAATTCTTTAAAACCACTCCATTTACCTTAAGGCTACTTATAGAATTTAGATGATTTAGCTGTTTCTCTAATCTAAAAAAATAGCTGGAATTACATTCTCCCTCCTCTAACCACCTCCTTCTTGAACGAAGAAAAGCACCCTTTGCTTTTCGAATATACAAGTTATCTAATGAATTCTGAAGTTCAACTAATTCTGATTTCTGGTCAACAGATAAATTCTCAAAAGGAGAGCAGGAGAGGTAGACAAGTCTTTTAACAATATCAAGTTCCTCTGCTTTATATTGCTTAGCTTTTTGAGTTCCAGCTTTGGCTAAAATTAATCTAATATTATATTTTAGCAGCTCCCAATTAGAACCAAAATTATCCTCGGTTTGAGCTTTGTTAAGAAAAAAAAAAAAATCCTAGATATCACAGACCTACAAATTTCCGCATCCTCTAATAAAACAGAGTTAAGTTTCCAGTATGAATTATATGTTCTTGAGTAAGAAGATGGGCTATCGAAAGACAATACTCCCCGAGATTAGAGAAGCAGTCGCCAATAAAATTACGTGTTTGTGGGCGGAGTCAAGTTGTTCGCTGCCGGCCAATGTAGAACATAGGCGGGAATTATGAAAATGTGTTACCCCGTGACGAAGTGGGATTCGAATTACTAGCGACTCGTTTAGGCTGTAGAGAGTTGATTTTTTATTTTGGGAGACAATAACTTTATTTATTGTGCACTTTTGGCTTTTCAACTTTGCTGATCGTTTACATTCACATACAGCTCATTACACATTGCATGAAAGGCAATATTGGAAATGGCATAATAGGGGCACTTTAACTTTTAACAACACTTCTCAGAATACGTACCTGAAGCAACGTAATACAAACAGCAATACGTGCCTATATCAGCGTCACAAAAACGCGCCAGAGTCACGTATTCCTTCCACGTATTTAGTGCCTCTCACTGGACGTTTCACTTTAAAACTGCCGCGAAACGTGCAGTAAGGTACGTAATAACGGTGCTGCAGAAATGTATTTAAAGGCATGTATTTCGATTAAGACAACAGTAACATCACTGTCAAAAATGTTTGTAATTTTACAGAAAAATACAGTAAAACGTTACATTAAAAACCTGTTAATTGGTTAAATGTAAGTCGCATATACAGTGAGAATTGTAAACGGTTTAACATAGCAATATATGTAATGTTATTGTAAGAATGAATTTACTGTTGTTTTCAGGTAAAAACTATGATTTACATAAATTACAGTGAAAGATAGTAAAGGACATTCTGAGAATGTCCTGCATCACATTTAAATAAATTTCATTATTTTTGCTAGCAGTAATGTAGGGTGTTTTGTTAAATTTTCTTCATCTTACGTTCGTTATGTTAATGTTTATTGCATTTCTAGTGTCGTGTGTAACCCTGATGATTGAATGGTGAATTTCTGGCAACCACAGCTGCCATTTATGTATCTCTGTTAGATATTCATTTTAAAATGGCATGCTATTTTTAGAGTTTAGAGACCCAAAAATGAAAATTCTGTCATTAATCACTCAACCTCATGTTGTTCCAAACTCATTCCAAAGCTCTCTGGCCCTCCATAGACAGCAACTACCACGTTCAAGGCCTAGAAAGGTAGTAAGGACATTGTTAAAATAGTCCATGTGGTTCAACTTTAATTTTATGAAGCTACAATAATACTTTTTGTGCACAAAAGAAAACAAAAACCTCTCTCCAGCCATCTTCTTTCAGACTGTGTGTGAGAGCGAACTGTCGTCCGGATGCTGCAGCTCACTTTGCCCTCGATGTGTTAACATATGCAGAGGGCATTTTGCTGCAAATTGGTGACAAGTGAGCCAGGTTGTGCAAGCCGTTTATGTCCTTGTGCGGAGGTGAAAAAAAGCAACATTCATCTGCACACCGTTAGCACATGCAAGCTGTGATTACATACACAAGAACATGTTAGTTGATGATAAAAACCTTATTAAAAGTAGAGGATGCAGAGAAAAGTGATTTTTCTTTAAGAACAACATGCATAAATGCTGCATGAATTGTGGCTTCAGTCTGTAATACAGGCCTGTGTGAAAAGTTTCATCAATATTCATTTATGAAGGTACATTTTTATTTCAGTATCATAGCCTTTATTAAATACTATAAAGAATTCAGAATGATTGACATGACTGAAACTCAGCAAGAGTTGAAATTGGGCTTTTTCTATTGTCAAAAAATGAAAAATTCCCAAATGAGCTACAAATGTACTGCAACACAAGTCAACACAATTCTGCATTCACATCTTTACTTACATAAAGTGAAATATTTCAGGGATATTCTTCAAGAAAAGAAGACTTTTCCCACTGTGAATTGATTGGATCGTAAAAAGTGGACATTATAGTATATAATAGTATGGAGTCAGGTCTGAATAAAATTCATGCAAGACTTCTCAAGAAATAAGTTAAGAAATATCTTAAGATAAATTTCAGGAATGTTCCTAAGTGCAATTGGGGAAAAACAAAGTTCAACACTTGTCATGGCACTTTTTATATGTGGCTAGTGTTATGTTGTATGCTTAATATTTGAAGCAGCCCAATAATTATATTAAACATATTACCTTCTTTGGGATTATAAGACAAGTTGGAAGTTATTCTAACTTTGAGAGGTTATTTACAATGATTTTTAAGATAATTCTTTTCAGGAATTCAAATTCTTCTTTAGAACAATCTTTAAAAAAAGATGAAAACATATTTTTAAGAATACAGAATATTCTTAATTCCTTAGTAAGAAAATAAGAAGAAAATAGCAGTTAAGAAGAATTGTATTCGATTCAATTAAAATTAATTTCATTCTAGTATTTTTTTGGAACAGCATACTGTTGAACAGTGTACAAAAAGACCAGGTACATTAAGCAAGAAGTAGAATCGATTTTAACCCTATAAAAACCCTCCACATTAGGGCTATGAATCTTTGGGTAGACAGCGAATCGATTCGATTCACAATTCATAGTTTTTCGATTCGATTCAAGAACGATTTTTGCAAATTCAGAACGATTCAATTCGATTAGATTCGATTAACGATTCGTTTCTGCGTTCTTTAAGTGCATTCACAGGATTACTTTTTCATACTTTTTGGTCAGGCTTTCTCAAGCCAACTTAAAGTTTGTCTTGACGAACTTTATATCTAGTTTAATGATGCTATGGCATGACATGGCATATGTAGAAATTTATGTAAGCCAAGAGCTTATACATAATACTTTTAAGAGCTTTAAAAGTATTATGTATAGGCTAACATTTTGTCACACCAGGGGTGTAGCCATCATTTCAGAAGTGACAGAAATGTCAAAAACAATAATTTTATGTAGGCCTATGTATGTATTATTATTATTATTTTTTTTACAAGGAATTATTTTCTTATCTATTACTTTGAATTTGCTATAAGAATCAAAAACACTGCTGGACAATAATCAGTCATTTGTAATTATAATTTTTCCTAATGGCAATTTTATGATTGTTTTATATAGTGCGAAAACTCCATCTCATTTTCATAAAATAAAATGCTATAGTATTTAACTTTTCCTCTCCATCGGCGAATGATGATCCTGAAAGAAAACGCGCCCAATATCTGTTTGCTACAGCAACGAACGCTACTTTCATGCATCTGATTATATCAGATAAACCTTGCGCTCTTATTTCAAGGTTGTTGTTAAAGCTGTGGTTATTTTAACGGTTTCCTTCGTACATTTGGTTCAACGACATTGTTAAAACACATTTATCATTCAATGTGCATATGCATTTTTGCTCAGGTAATGTCATCGGTATGACCAAGAGCCATTGAAAAACTACAGAAAAGCAAAACTACTTCACTTTAGCATTACTGGCCACGAGTACTAAGGAGAGATCACACATCAGCTGCTCAAAAAATGTATCGGTAAGACGAACGGAGCACGAGCGCAATCCTGTGACAGTCACTGCAGGCGGGAAATAGTGGAGCGCGTGAAAGAGAGATGCGAGGCACGAACACTGTTCAAGGTCTCCATTAATTCGAGCTTGTAGTAATTTAATGTGTATATATTTTGAAAGCATTGAATCGCTATAGAAATCGCGATTTATTCGATTCTTAGCGTTTTCAATCGATTACTATCCGAAATTGACGATTCACGATTCAAAAATAAATTTTTCAAGATCGATGCATTGCATCGTCAGGGTTTGTAATCAATGCATCCAGAAAACGAGTGTATCGTTACAACCCTACTCCGCATGCAAAATTTGTTACTATGTTGATTTTGACCCCATAATGACTGTCTCAGGCCTCCTACAAGCTTGTTGCCATTATTACTCCACTTTCTTGGTCTTCCTTTTCCCTGAAAAGAAGCAGAGAGATGTGAAATGGAGAGAGTTGGATGAAAAGCCGCTCTGTCATCTGATTCACTCAGTGTTTTGTGTGTTTTCTGCAGAGTGAGTACTCAAGTGACTCAGAGAGTGAAGACAATTTCCTCCTGATGCCTCCGAGGGACCACCTGGGCCTCAGTGTTTTCTCCATGATCTGCTGTTTCTGGCCCTTGGGCATCGCAGCTTTCTACCTGTCTCACGAGGTGAGAAGATCTCTATCACCATCTCATATGACAACGTAAATGCCAATGTTCAAGAAGTAGTTACATTTATTAATATGAATAAAATGAAGACTAACAATACACTCTTTAAATAAAGGTTCTAAAAGCAGGTTTTCACAGTGATGCCATAGAAGAACCATTTCCCCAAACAACCTTTCAGTGAACAGTTCTTAAAAGAACCATTTTTTAGTGTGAAGAACATTGTAAAAATCTAAAGAACCCTTTTCCACTATCCACCTTATTTTTCACGTAAAAATGGCCATTTGTTAATTTTATGGGTCTTGCTTCCGGTCTCATCTGCTTCCAGCTATTTTTAGCTGTACAAAACCACTCCTTTTGCTGCTTGATATTGCAAATTGGTGTGTCTTACCTTATTATTTTAGTGTATTATTTTAATTATGAACAGACTGGTTTGTAATGCAAACAGTTTTACCATTTACTGCACGTTGTTATTCTTCTCGTTATTTTTCTATAGCGGCTAATCAACAGGAAGTCTCGCCCATAGGCCTACTTCCGCGTTTAGGAATAAGGTGGATAAAGAATCTTTTGTGGAATGGAATGTTCTGTGGATGTTTAATGTTTTTATGGAACCATCGATGCCAGTAAAGAACTCTTATTTTTAAGAGTGTAGACTGTTTACAGTTGCCTAGCAACATATCAGAACTGATGCGTGGTCACAGGTGTTCATACAGTATAATGGCTACTTTACAACATCATTTGTCTGAACAATCTGTTTTATAATAAAGCAGTAAGCCAGAAGAGGCCATGAGTTGCTTTACAAAGGGTATTAAATAATGATTTTTTTTGGTGCAACATTTTTGGAGAAATTGTTAGATAGGTTGAATTGCTTTTTTGTACATTCCTGTGAGAAGTTCACACAGAGTTGCATCCATTGTGCAGAACCAATGTAATTTATTTAAATTAATTTATGTAGTAACAACAACAACAACAATAATAATAATAACAATTATTATTATTATTATTATTTTTTGTCTGTGTTATTATTGTTATCCGTCCATTTTCCAAACTCAGGCAGGGTTGTTATTATTATTATTATTATTATTATTATTCATTCAAAACCATTGTATTTGATTTATTTTTTTTTAATTAATGTATGTAGTATTAGTAGTAGTAGTAGTAATAATAATAATAATAATATCCCTGACTGAGTTTGGAGAATGGAGGGATAATAATACTACAAAGGAAAAGTATTATTATTATTATTATTATTGTGGTTATTATTATTATTATTATTATTATTAACTCTTAATAATAATATAATAATAATAATATCACATATCAAATTATTATTATTATCATAACTACATATTCATATCTGTTGTACTTCATTTTTAATTAATTTCTATACTACTACTACTACTAATATGCCTCACTTTGGAGAATGGATGGATGATAAATAACATGAAGATAAGTTATTATGGTACAGTAACACTTTACCTAAAGCCTTTATGTATAATGCATTATAAAGGGTTATTAAAGGGTATAATGCATTATAATTATTCATAATGTGTGTTGTAATACATCATATCTTGTCGTAAATAATTATAACCGAAATTGAAATGCATAGTGTAACAACAATGAATTGATAAGTGTTATAATGTATTAACTGTGGTTACAGTTATTCATGAGATTGTACAATGCATTATAAGGCATAAGTCATGCATTGAAACTCTTAACTTTTATAATGCATTATACATAAAGGCTTTAAGTAAAGTGTTACCGTTATGATTGATATTATAACTCCTTCAGATTAGAGTTTTATTGATACTTTAACCATACTTGTCCCCTATTATGTTTGATAATCCTGGGCTTTGAAAACTAAAACTGTGGAAGGATGCATAGCTAAACGGTAGAACGGTAGACAACTTACAGCGCACACTGTCAGGGAAAATCCGGTCATTATACGTCATTGAGCATTTAAAAACAAATATCCATTATAGTCTAATGTATGCTGCAGGGCAAAAGATGGAGCATTCCCGGGTTTGTTTCATAAAGGTGACTATAGTATGCTGCAGTGTCAAATGTATTTATAGCTTACCGCAATGCTCTTGAGAGGAGAGAGATTGCTTACAGAACGAGTGCTGAGAGAGAGAGAGAGAGAGAGGTCATTTGCAGCATTTTCATCTATCCCCCTTCTTATTTCAAAGCATTAATGCAAAACAGGATAGGATAATGGTGTTCATCTCCTTTTAGTTCACCTTCTATTTCTGCTCAAAATCGAATAAAAATGAAGCTTATATATTTTTCTGCATTTTTGACGTTTACTGTTAAACGTGACACTTTAAAAAAGCATCATAACTAATGCATAATATAAACAATGTGAAAAACTTAGCATTTAAATTATGCAGTCATTATACAGTTTATCTCATGACAATGTCAGTGTTAAAATATATGAATGGTCCCAAAAGGAGAGAGAGAGAGAGAGAGAGAGAGAGAGAGAGAGAGAGAGGTCATTCGCCTCAGACGGGAACTGTACAGAGAAGTGGTAATTGCAGCATTTTCACTCATTCCCTCTCTTATTTCAAAACATTAATGCATAACAGGATATTATGGTGTTCATCTCCTTTTGTTCATCTTCCATTTCACCTCCAAATCAAATAAAAATGAAACCTATATTTTTTGCATCTTCAATACTGTTAAACATGACACTTTTAAAAAAGCAGCATAACTAATGCATAATATAAACAATCTATTCACTTATGCAATAATTTACAATAAATTAGGCTTAAAATATCTTAAAGGGGTGGTTGATTGCGATTTCACTTTTTTAATAAGCAGTAGCATTTACAAATAACAGCATATCTAAAAGTATGAGACAACAATAAATAAAAAACATAGGCCTACCATTAAAAGCCATGCTTGCACAGGTTCTGCACGATCCTCTTCAATAATATCCTCTGCTTCTCAATCGAGCTCAAACTGATAAGCGATATTAACGACGCCGTTGTTTACAATAGAACCGGAGCATATGCCGCTGAGGAGAGGTGCGGGACGTTTAGACGCGCACTAGAAGCGGTTTAGCCAATCACAACACACTGGGCTAGCTAACCAATCAGAGCCCATCGCCTATTTCTGAGGGCGGGGCTTCATAAAAACAGGAAATGATCAGCGCGTTTCTCAGAGAAGGGACAGAGCGGTGTGGAATAAAGGTAAATTATGTGAAAAATAATGCGTTTTTTTAAAAACGGAGCATTAACACATGTTAGACTGCACCCCATAAACACAATCAAGCCTAGAAAAAAACCAGTGAACCACCCCTTTAATGGTCCCAAAACAGGCCTCATTTTCATAAATCGTAATTTCTTTTGATTGTGGACTGAAATATGTCCTGGGCATGTGCTTGATGGGTTTTGTGTGATTCATCGTGTGCTTAAACTTTCAGTGTTCACTTTTGACACTGGCTTTAAAAGCAGTTTATGGCCCTCATTCTCTGTGTTTCTCGCTCTGTTTCTCTCCGTCTTTCTCTTTCATGCGGTACATCACGACTCAACACCCACAGCTCTCTAATTCTCTGCCTGAAAAAAAAAATATAGAAATCTTTTCTCAGCCTGGTTTTTAAAATCTAAGCCTACACCAAAATCAATTCACTGCAATCCTTCTACAAACCTCACCAGATTTACATTATTGCAGAATGTTTTATCAAGTAAAAATGCCACACAAGCAGCTGATTTATCTCTAAATATCTGAATGCATTATTGCATATCTTCTAAAAGATGCTAGATACATCTTGTAGAATATATACAGGCTGTAGTAGTGAGTATATTGTAGACATTAAATTATGCTGCTATTTTGTGAATGCACTGTAATAATATGAATGCTTGATTTTCTAATCCAGGTGGTTGAAATAAATTAATTTCTTGGGGGTTTTGTATAAGAGTGAGTCACGGCAAGAGCAGTTTCCTGTGAGCTGTGCAAATTTTCAGACAAAGTTAGTAACTCACAGTTTTGCACGTGTTTTCAGCTGCAGAGCTTTTAATTGGTTCATTTTTTGACTTTTCTTTTAATTAATGATGTGGTTTTGAGCAATTACTCAGCAATCAATAGAACACAAACTCTAGTTACACTGTAAGTCTGCCTCATCAAATCAACATTTAAATAAAACTTTAATGTGTGAAAACAACCTCACAAATGCAGGGATATTATGAAATTTCCATGTTATAGAAGTGATCAAATCGTACAATTAATAAACATCCCAAAAGAGGATCATTTAAAAAACAAAACAAAGTTTATTTAACACACTTTTTGTAACCACATAGCTGGGTATTTTGTCACACTGTAATGTGTATAACTTGCAATGGAAATATACAAAAACACCAAAGCAGTTTAAGCCAATGAATAAAGTAATTCAATGCTTAAATTGCACTTTTTAGCAATTAAACTAACGTCAATGCTTTGAATTCAGAGTTGTGTGTGTTGAAGGCTCAGTCTAAAACAGTTTGAACAGTCATGTATTATACATCTAGCGTTTCTCCAGGGCTTTTCATCTTCTAGCTGGGTTTAGCGAGAAGCTAATGGATGGCCGATGTGAAAGTCATCCGCCGGTAGGACGTTCTGTGAGAAAGAAGCAGGCGTGATGTGCCTTGAGGGAGGCCAAAGCAGCCTCTTTTTTTGAACAGCTCTTTTTCTTCTATTCTCTTTCACTGGCATCATTTTTAAAAGGTTATTGCTGTCTGCTAATGCAATTGCATAGAAACTTAATCAGACATATAAAGCATTTGACTTAACTACAAGTCTTATAGCATGCTTTTATGTTTGTTTACTGTCTGCAATGTTTTATTTTTCAATTCACCAAAGGAATTATGAAAACTGTGCGGATACTAATACAAAATTCAGTGCTGAATACAATTTGCATGGCACAATTTCCCATGTTGCATGTGGTTCTGAGTGGCAGGTGGAGGAAACACCAGATTACTGCTTTCTGCCGCTCTTTCTGCATTTTTTATTATTATTATTGTTTTTTC